TCTGATAATACGGGTTTCTTATCAGATTGGAGTTGCTCCGGGGTATCCTGCTGGCACTCTGGATCTCTTCTTGTTTGTCCCATCCACTGAGTGCACATACAGTCAGCACCTGCACTAGCACATAGCCCGTTTCCTTCAAGGTGTCAGCCAGGGAGCTATACTTTGTCAACCTCCACCATCGAGCTTCAGTGGAAAGGCACTGGGGAAAGTCCCCACAGACAGAGAAAGCAGGTTCTGTTCTCTAGCTGTGAGGTGGCTGGGGCTGACCAGGAACACTTGAACGCCTCCTTGTCAGCCTCAGTGGTACGACCGAAAGGTGTCCAGCAGATGCATCAGGGTGTGAAAGGAGAGGCCTCACTTGCAGCAGCAGGGTCATGCAATGCAGCCATGGGTACAAGCAGATGCTTCTCAGGGGGTTTGTTTGTATAATACAGTGTAGAGGAGCAGGCCTCTCAAGTGCATTTTAACAACCCTTGCAGCAGTGAGCCATTGGTAGTCCCTGTCCCCCTACTTTGGCAGGTTTGGGGGCTCTTGTGCTTTTTGGGCAATGGGTCTTGTAGTGGTGCAACAGGGTTGTTGTGTAGTGTGAGGAATAGGTCAGACAACCTTTGTATGGGATAGTTTGGATAGGAGTGACCCTGCCCCAAGCAGGGGGTTGCACCAGATATGACCTCCAGAGCTCCCTTCCTGTTCATGAAGCAGGTTGTGGGAGCAGTGAAGCCCCAGGACATCAGGGCAGAGCTGGGCGGGCAGAAGAGCCGCGTAGCAAGCTCTGCAGCTGGAATGCAGTTTGGCAGGCCTTGGAAGGCTGTCGCAGGCACATGCTGTGGAGCTGGGCTGCGGGCTGACCACAACCTGTCGGTGCAGTGCTTCTGCAAGAAAGGCAGTGCTATGGTGTCTAATGCTCCCGTCTGGTGGCGATGGTGGTGTGTTAGTGCCATTAGTAAGACCCCATTTAGAATATTGTGTCCAGCTCTTGGCTGCCAGGATTCAGGAGGGAACAACGTAAACTGGAACAAGGGTGAGCAGCTTGTTTAGGGGAATGGAGACCAGGGTTACAGGCTAGTTCACTGTAGCAGAAGGGAGGTGCAAGGGGGCGAGGCACTGCAGGAGGTGTGGGTACCCTGCCCACCCTGCTCTAGCCAGGCTGCTGCTGCTGTCTCGTGGGGTCGTGCAGGAGGTATCCAGTGGATCCATGCTGCAGGGCCCCTGGAGGACCCAGAACTAATTTCTTTCCCACCAATGTTTGATGTGGCTTCTGCTGGGTTTCTTCATCTTCCTCTGAAGTGCTGGATGTTGGTGAGGCTGGGGGATGGATGGCTGCGGCTCCTGTCAGTCTCAAGGAACCTCACAGAACGGTAGCTGGGGGTCTTGCAGAAGCACCCAGGGTCCAGCAGTCCCCAGCTCTGAGGTCCTGCCAGGTCTTGTTGTATTTCATCTTCCTCTGAAGTGTGGGTCAGGTCCGCAGCCTGGGATCCTCAGTGGCAGGGCTTCAGCAGTGCCCTTGTCTGCTCTGCTCGTCACCTGTAGCTTGTGGTGAGTGTTGTGTGGCTGTAGCATGTGACGGGGTTTGAAGCGCCCTGTCCTTTGCTCCCAGTCTCTGTGCTCTGCGCTGGCCTGTCTGCACCTGCAGTGTGGATGCAGCCAGCTGCGACACAGACAGACCAGAAAGGAGGACTCATGGCTCCTAGTGCTTGCCCATCCATGATGCCTCTCATCTAAAAACATGATAGGAGTGGCTTGAAATGCAGCGATGGTCTGGGGAAAGTCAGCTAGAAGCAGCATCCAGTTAGTGCTCTTAGAGCAAAACAGGACCTCAATCTCCTGACTCTGTGTGTGCAAGAGCTGGTGGGTTCACTGTGGAGCTTGGGAAAGATGTCTGCCCAGGGCAGTGCACAGCTGCCTTGAGAAAAGCACGCGGGTTGTCTGAGTGCATTAAAAATGGGCAAAAGCGATAGAGTAGCTGCCAAGGAGACAGCCATCTAGCACACACTCACCCTTGGTATACCCTCGAGACATTTGCATACCTGAGGGAACCTTCCCTGAGCCTGAAACAATCTGGAGAAGGCACGTGGCCATTAGCAATGGCGAGGCAGGGCCAGGCTCCTGGGGCTGCCTGAAAGCAGTTGAAAAGGGTGCAACTTCTGCCTTCCTGCATCCCCATCAGCACTTGTTTGTTTCATTTTCCCGTAGTCTTCCTCTCTGGGCCAGGCTCTGGTATCGCCCCGGAGCAGTGCCAGAGCCTGCACAGGCTTCCAGTGCATAGCTGAGGTGAAGCACTCTCCACTGCGAGCAGACGCATGTCAATCGGGGGAGCGGCTGCTCTGGGCCGTGCAGCCGACGTGTGCTATAAATGCTGCGCACGACCCTGGGACAACACAAATGCAGCAAATCCGCTGCGGCTGTCCTGCTGCTTCACTCAGGGTTCAGGCAGGGGACTCAGCCCCTAGACATCATGGCAGGCACATGCACACAGAGCAGTTAGCGCCTCCCAAGAACAGTGCCCCACCTCAGAAACAGGCAGTGAGCAGCAGCCTCCCTCCTTTGGGGGTCAGAGAGCAAGTGTGCCATGCACGGGGAAAGTCCGACTCCTCTGAAGCATCATCTCTCCCCCTTTCCCCCCGTCCCCTCTGGAGATGCTGACCTTGCTGTTCCTCTGGTTTTATAGGTGAAGATGAGAAACTTGCTGCTTCTTTAATGGATGGGAAGTTTCCGCGGAGCACTTCAATGCAAGACACAGTTAGGGAAGGGCATGGCATCCCACCCCCACCTCAGACAGCTCCTCCCCCGCCTCCGTCTCCATATTACTTTGACACGGGCCCTCCCCCATCCTTCTCCCCACCGCCGCCCCCCGGAAGAGCTTATGACACCATCAGATCAAGCTTTAAGCCAAGCCTGGAGGCCAAGCTCCATGGGCTCCCACAGGTGATCAGTGCAGCTGAAATGTACGACCAGGCAAGGACGTCTGTGCCCTACCCTGAGCGGCAAAAGAGAGCCCGATCCATGATAATCCTACAAGACTCCTCTCATCTTCCTGTTGAACCGACGGAAATCCCCCGGCCTGGCCCCTCCGCCACCCCCCCAGAGAAGATGAAAAGGAAAGGGAGAGTGATCGACAACCCTTACGCCAACATGGGCCAGTTCAATGTCAGCCTGTTTGCTCCCACCAAGCCCCAGAGGAAGAAAAGTCCACTGGTCAAGCAGCTCCAAGTAGAGGATGCGCAGGAGAGAGCAGCTTTGTCCATTGCGGGAGGCTTCACGAGGGAGCCCTCTCCCACGCGCAGGAGCCATCGCCTGAGTGGCATTGAATATCAGCACCACCCTGGCATCGCTCAGGTCGAGCCCACAAGCATCCCCTTCGCCACTGCCATTGCCGGAGTCATGAAGGACAGAGACCGTCGTCTGGATGAGAAGCGGAAATCCACTGTCTTCCTCTCGGTTGGGGCCATTGAGGGAAGCCCCCCCAGCATCGACATGCCATCCCTGCAGCAGTCCAGGTCTATTGATGAGCGGCTGTTAGGAAGCCGAGATGTGCTACTGCCTTCACCTGTCTCAGCTTTAAAGCCATTAATTAGCAGCTCATCCTCAACATTCATCCATCCCCTGACAGGCAAGCCCCTGGATCCAAACTCACCACTGGCACTTGCGCTGGCCGCAAGGGAGCGGGCCCTGTCCACTCAAGTCCCATCCAGATCGCCCACCCCAATCCACAGCCCAGATTCAGAAAGAGCAGCACCCCTGTTTGTGGACATCCAAACCAAAGAACCAGAAAGGGGGGAGTTAGAGGGCTTAGTGTCTCCTGCTTTCTCACCTGGAGGCAAAGGGGCAGTTGGAGCAGATTCTGGAGCTTTGGCCCCTGCAAAGAGCCAGTGGGGGACCCCGACGACAGTGAGGAAGGAGATGGAGATAAGAACAGAAACACCTGGGAAAGAGGAAAAAAAACCAGAAGACAAGAAGTCCATGATCATTAGCATAGTGGACACATCACAGCAAAAGACAGCAGGCCTCATCATGGTCCATGCAACAAGTAATGGCCAAGACGAGATAGGACTTGAGGTGAAAGAGGAGAAGCCAGCTGTTCCTGAAGAATGCACGGAGCCAGCAGAGCTGCCCAAGGCGGAGACCCAGCCCAGCCCTGTGGGAAAGCCTCCGGTAAGTCCAGCCTCTGACAAAACATTGGGACAAGGGAGTTCAGAGGAGGAAGTGGAGCCCTACACAGTTACCCTCCCGCCAGCCCAGCTGTCCTCAAGCGATGAAGAGACCAGGGAGGAGCTGGCCAAGATTGGGCTGGTGCCTCCACCAGATGAGTTTGCGAACGGGGTACTCGTCACCACACCTGGCACACCAATCAGCCAACTGGCAAAGCCTAGCACGCCATCCATACCAGCGGCAGCAGTAGCACCTTCTACCACTGGTGGAACACCCTCAGGGAAGCCCTCTGATGCCCCCGGAGCCCCAGAGTCTGCTGCAGACTCAGGAGTGGAAGAGGTGGACACCAGAAGTTCAAGTGACCATCACCTGGAGACGACAAGCACCATCTCTACCGTCTCCAGCATGTCTACGTTGTCCTCAGAGAGTGGGGAGCCTACAGATACATACACTTCCTTTGCGGATGGACAAACTTTTATACTCGAGAAGCCACCAGTGCCTCCAAAGCCAAAACTCAAGTCCCAGCTCAGCAAGGGGCCAGTTACTTTCAGGGACCCACTTTTGAAGCAGTCTTCGGACAGCGAGCTCATCTCCCAGCAACATGCGGCCACGCTGGCTTCAGCCAGTGTTGGTCGGCCACGCTACCTCTTTCAGAGAAGGTCCAAGCTATGGGGGGACCCCATGGAGAGCAGGCCAGTCCACGGGGCTGATGATGACAAGCCAACTGTGATCAGTGAGCTAAGTTCCCGGCTACAACAGCTGAATAAGGATACGCGATCACTGGGGGAGGAACCTACCGGGTCCACTTTAGATCCCGGGAAGAAGTCACCTGTGGTCGCAGCACGGTAAGACTTATGCTGGTCAGGGGAGGGGATTGGTGCAAAGTTTAGGCATCGCGGCAAAAGAAATGGCCTATAACTGTCCTACATAATCACAGGCTGCATTTTGAGGAGCATTTCAGAGCTGTCAGGATTCCTCAGCCGCTTACAGGAGAGGAAATGCCGAGACAAACTTCCTAGAAATGGTCGTGTTTGGTTTGGGGGCTCCTCACTTTCTCACTGTCTCTGCCCTTTAACTTGCTTTCCTGTTGTTTCATGTTGCTTCTATGTCTTGATTCTATTGTTAAACTGCTGTATTTGGTTGTGGGGTCCACTGCTCAGTGTGTTCCCCTGAACAGGGAATGACTACCTGCATTTCATCCCAAAGGACTCCCAAGTGTTGCCAGGCTACATACATAGGAGTCATATCACTCATGGAGCTAAAGCCATTCCTGGGGTGGAACGTGGCAGCCCTGACACAAGCCACAATAATATGCACCTCTGAAAGATGAGACGCCAGTGAAGGCCACATCTAAGTGGACTTGCTAAGGGACTCAGGCTGGCGAAGCATAGCTAGGAAATGTGACGAGCAATCTTTACAAGCCCAGTGCCTTAGATTAACATCTCTTCCATCTGCAGTAGCACAGTCTCCCCCGCCCCCTCCCGAGTCATTCACACTCCTCCACCAGCATCCTCCTGCCACCACCCAGAAGCTTTGGGATCAGCATTGATGCAGGGAGAGAGATACCCCCTGCTAAGACATTGGCACTGTTGCCTGCAGCTCCATGGGTTTCTACAGGCTTCACACCCAACACAGACCGAGCAAGAGCTAAAGTAACTTTTGACACCTAACAAGGCCACAGCCCAGGGGGTGTGGGTGAGAAGGCCCCTGGCGCACAGAACCTTCTCTCACATGGAAAACAATAACAGTTCTCCATCCCCTGAATGCAGAGGAGTCCTCCGAGCTCCCAGAGAAACCAGCCCCTCTCCATTCATCACAGGCCTCCAGCAACACCAGTCCATCCTACACCCATACAGCCTCCTTGTGGCCCCATGGCTTCCCACAGCCTGCCTTGTCCCTGCAGTCAGGGCAGCCTTCACATCACCTGAGCTATGCCACTGCTTCATAGACATTTCCCAATACAGACCCCAGCTGGCCACAATCCCGTTTCCTCCCATCTCCTTTGCCTCCCTTCCAGATGCCTGGGATTCATAGGCACTGGTTCTCTAGGTAAGAGTTGTTTGACGCTGGTGGAGCCAAAAGGGCTAGCCCATGCTCGCTCTCTCCACACCTTGCAGGTTAAGTATCGCACAGTGCTGTGCTGGATCCCCTGAGCATAACTGCTCTGCTCCCCCCACACCTTGGACTCTACAGGACACCAGCTCCCCAATCCCACCTGCTCCCGAAGAGATGCCAGCCCCTTGCACCTACAGGGATCCCTTGCCCCTAGAGACATCAGAACTCAGTATTCCCTCTCCATTCCCAGGCACCATCCTCTTCTTGCCAGAGACACATGGGCCCCTCATGTTCCTCCACTGTCCCACCACCCCGAGGGACACCAGTGCACACTCTGTCTGCCCTAAGCCTGTCTTTCTGCTGCTTGTGCCTCCAGAGACACTGCCCCTGGCAACCCTGCATGGTCCCCACTGCTCTTAGGAGAGGGGCTCCACCAACGCCAGGCACTCAGACACCAGTCCCCCCGTCCTCCCTCTGACTCCATCACTCCCTGCAAGACACCCCTCTAGGATGCCCTGCTATCCCCCGAGCCAGCCAGCCACCCGGCTCTGCACCATGAGTAAGTTCCTGCACCTCCACTGCACTCCCGGGCTAACCCTGGTGTTGTGCTCTCCCCCACACCATCATGGGCTAGTGCAGCCCATCCCCCGGTTGCTTGGCATTTCTTTCTGGTCTTGTAGAGCTGAATGTTTCTCATTTACTTTTTCTGAAAGTTGTGGCCTTTCACCTCTGAAATACGGTGCTTGTGGTGGTTGAGAGAGACTTGGAGCTACTTCTCAGGCAGGCAGCTGTAAATAGGGAACTCTAGAGTAACATCAGGCTCTCTCTTAGCAAACTACTGTCAATTCAGAAACTAATACAGAGAACGATTTACAAGTGCAGTCCACACTTTATTGCACCACCACCTCCCGTGTCTGTATCTGAGCTAGGAATGACATTGCCACCAAGAGCTCCCATGACAAGCCACCCTGAAGGCAAGAAGCAGGGCCATGCAAAATTTGTTGCTGCCACCACCTGTGATGGCCCTTGGGGGACCGTTCTTGCTGCTTCTGCTGGAGAACCCTAATGCCAGAGTAGCTGCTGCCACCCAAAGCTGCCTTCGAATCCTTCCACTGGGCACAAGGACACACTGCTGGAATCTGTCCTGTCCCGCACCCACTCCTGTCGTCCTTGGATCCGTCATTGTTGCAGAAGAAGAGTGAGCCCTTCCCATCAGACCCCGCTGACACTGTGTCTCTGATGCCTGGCACTTCCCTGGACTCTCCCCAACATTGGAGAAGGACAGTGAGGTGACCTGTCCCCAAAGCCAACCCTAAGCAAGCACTCTTCTTGCCAGAGCTGATCCCTGGAAGCCAGGAGGACTGAGGTAGCTGCTGCGAATCGGTGGGCCTGGTGGTGCGGTGTTCGTGTCATCCCCAAATGTGCTCCCAGGGGCATTAGTTTCTGAATAGACAGTAGTTTCACCTGAGAGCAGAGCATCCATCTCAGTGTTGTCTGGAGCGCAGGGCCTGGTCCATTTCTCTTCCAGAGGTCTGGAGAGCTCCTGGCTGTGGAGATCCAAATCTCCTTAAGTCTAATTCTGCCTGTGTCTCCTTCTAAGAGAGTCTTTCATATAAAGAGGCTTGACCAGAGCGACTGAGAAAGAGGTCAAGAAACACTGGGTACGTCTACATGTGTATTAATGCACCGGAATTATGGTGTATTAACTTTAGTACCTGTAATAACAGATACTAAATTGCCGTAATAGTGCTGGCAGAGGTCTTTTAGGTGACGCTAATGTGCAGTACACTAATTCTGCACGTTAGCACAGCTTCTGCCGTGATATTCTAATGCACAGTAGAATGAATCTACTCTGCTTTTAGTGTCTCATGTAGATGTGCCCACTGAGAACAAGGAGGAGATTAGGTCAGAGTTAAGGCACTCCAAAGCAAGGCTGTTCCCTCCATCCTCCCGCTCCATGGACTCTGTGAAGATGGCAGTGCTGAATGGGGGGAGAAGGGCTGTGCTTGGCCTGGAGAGCATGTGCTGTGTTCACTGAGCAACACTGCTTCTCTTTCCCCAGCTGCAGCACCCTGCCTTCACCACAGTGTTCACAGTGATGCCCATCAAGCCTCGCAGGTGACATAACAGAACCGTGTGGACCTTCCATTTGTGGAGTTTCGCTGGCATGTGTGGTGTTCCTATATCAGTGGCACCCTATTTTGCTCAAGCATGAGCTGTTCTGGCACTTGCTGGGTGTGTCTACACATACGCTTTAATACACAGCCAATTTTACTACTCATTAAAGCACCATGTAAAAAACTGTGCTATTATGCTAATAAGCAGTAAAAAGAGGCTAGTGCACATTAAGCGTCACTAAAAAAGCATGCACTTTTTCTTCTGCATATTACAGCAGCTTAATGCACATTTAGTTAGTACTTCACATTAGAAGTACTAAATTTAATGTGCAGTAGCAAAAGTGCATTAATGAACGTGTAAACATGCCCACTAGGAACACGAGCCACACCTAGTATGCACGAGTAGAAGTTAGCTGCAGTCATCTTCATCTTTAATGTGGATGGAGCCCGAAGACTGCAGATCCCAGCATGTAATGTTCCATCTTAATCTAAGCTGCAAGAGAGCCTCCAAGCATCATGAGAGAGCCAGGACATGAGCTAACTTCTAAGTTACCTTCTGATCTGTCCCAAGGCAGCTTGAGAAGTCCTGCAGTAGCTCCACCAGCAGGCTAGCCCTTTACTGAGGCAGAGCCGTTTTCGAAGAACTTGCAGTTTAAGGATGCTCCCGGAATAAGGCAACGGAATCAGTGTGTGAAGTTCCCTAATGACAGCTGGGTGTGTTTGATCAGTGAGTGGTGAGTCTAGTGAATCATAGCTAGCTGAAGGAATGCATTGTAGCATCAGAGGCTGAGATCATAGACTTCCAGGGTGAATCACACATGTTAAATGTACGGCATTAAAATATATGTTTAAACTGGCATTCTTGTTTAATGTCCTTGTGTCATGTGATGCTGGCCATGGCCATCGAGCCTCATCAAGAGTTGTGCCATTCCTCATTGGGTATAGCGAAACCTGGACTCCAACCTCCCAACTGGCTGGTCCACTTTGGCATGACAGCGACCAGCTAGGCCCTACGGCTTATATGTGAGCGAGGGTTGACACAAGCCACAAGAGTTCAGTAGCGTTTGCACAGTTTCAGTTGTAGGCTCCAATCCAGCCAAAACTCCAGGGTAGTGGGATTTCTGCACAGGTTTTCTCATTCTTACATCTAAGCAACAACAGAACGTGCCAAATGTATCATTTGAAGCAAATTTTTAGATGCAAAACTGAGTTTTTCAGGTGCTGTTCTGGAAACCCACAACTGCTTTGTATTTCTACAGATCTGAAAGAGAGAGAGAAGAAAAATAAGCCCTTTAGGCATTTAGCTCCTAGGGTAAAGCTACCTCTTTCTATATAAACTCATCAATTAATTCTGTTCAGTCAAATGGTGTAACATTTCTGGTGTAAGCTTTCAGCCACTGCAGTTACAACCCCCTGTTTCCTTGTAGGCTTTTTGTCTCCTCATTATTCTGTCTAAACTCAGGCACAAACCAAACTGAAGTTCATTCTGCAGACAGGGAAGGAGCTAGAGAGTTGGTGGAGAAGTACAGGTTTGGGGTTTGCTGTGCAAAAAACACCTTGTTCCCAAATGGGGTGGCTGGGCGTACGGGTGCAAAGCGCACAACCGCTCCGCGCTTGTTATGACTGACAGTGGCCTTCCAGGCTCCGAACCCCGTACTGTCCACAGGGGCAGGGGGAGAGACGGGTGTCAGAACAGACTGAATGTCTCTGAGCCCAGCGGGAGGTGGGCCGGAGACGGGTAACAGTGTCCTGTGGGAGGCAGAGCAGGGAACGCCAGGACAAGTCAGCGAGACCCCATCCACCTGTCCCCTCAGGAAAGGGCAGTTGTTTTCCCAGTGTCCCATAAAACGTGCTGCTGTTCAGAAGTGTCTCCAGAGAGGCTGATGTTTATGGCATCTTGGGCATCAGCCTGCCTGGTTTAGGTTTCCCTTCTAGAGCAGGTGCAGACAATATTAGAAGACAAGGGCCCAGGCCACTTTGGGGCAGAGCACCAGAGAACATGAACAGTGTGTCTGGGTTGATCGCCTAGTCCTCCAAACAAGCACTAGCCCATCATTCTGGGCAGACACCCCAAAGTCAAAGTGATCAAGGAATTCCTCTCATGGGCAGGGGTTTGCTTCTTAAACGTTGATGTGCTTTGCCTACAAGGAGACAGGGGCATTGTGAGTAATCAGTCTCAGCATGTGTTCATGTCACAGCAAGCACAGCTGGCTTCACCTCATCTGATCACTAACATGTACTAATCACAGCTCATGCACCCATTACTGTGAGTGAGTAGAAGAGCAAGCCTTGACTTCAGCTCCTTCATGCCCCCTGGGTTCGGCTTAAGATAATTCTTTGCTCCTTCGGAGGGAGACTTAGCCGTGTCTCCAAGAGTATTTCAGTGTGGAAGTGTCCCAAAGAGGCGGGCATTAAGCCTCGGCAGCTTTACCTTGGCACGGATTTCAGCATGGGGTTGTGGGGTGGGAGGAGTCCCGTGTACCGCACACCGCACTGCAGGGACAGGGCCACCCCTCCAGCACCTGGAGACTGGACATGAAGGTCACAGAAAAGAAACGGGCCTTTCCCCTCACCTGTGAGATTCCTGGGACAGATTCTGGCCATCACTGTAGCTCAGTGAATAGGGTGCCATGCAGGCAGTATAGGAAGCTCCCTGCCAACCAGAGCCCCAACACGCACAGCCATATGTCAGTGTGGCAATTCGCAAGAGACTGTGGGGCTTCCCAGAGAGGAGTGTGCCTAGGGACTGAAAGCTGTGTCCCCTCCCAGAGGAGGCCTGAGGGCCAGTGTGGAAAAGCTGAGGACAGGCCAAGAGCATTAACCCTGCAATCCCTTCTCACCCAGAAGGGCAGGTTTGCAAGGTACAGTTGGGGCATCGTGCAGTGTTGGGACGGCCCAGAACATTAGCTCCCTGCCCTGCTACAGACTCACGGGTCACTGCTTTCTCTTGCAGTATAGTTCTTAGTTCCTTTTCTCGCTGTGACACCACCCTACAAACTGCATCTGAAAGACGGCACGCCAGGAAGCCACCTCAGCAGCCAGAGCGATTTATGTTCGACTTGCGGTGTGTCCTGCAGGCACATGGCTGGCTTTGATATCGCCAGGGGAGAGCAATAGGTGCAGTACTTACTGCAGTACAAGAATGGGAGGGACATGGCCCCAAAAGAGCTTTGAAGTCCTCTTGCTCTTCTACTTCATTCTTTCAAGCATAGCAAATTTGTTCCTGTGACACCCAGCTGGGACGGCACTCCCCCCTAAGCCCCGTGCAGTTCCCGACGGGATAGCCAGGCTGCTTCACAGGCTGGGCAGAGACCTCTGTGGGGCTGGCTGTGTGCATTTACCCGGGGTTGCTCTGCAGTAAGGACAGGTACTTCGTCTAGGGTAAGCCTGACTTGAGCCTGGCTCTTTGTGCCCTGTAACAAGCGCTTGCCAGTACCTTCCACCTGCTGCCCCTCTTCTGGCCCAAGACAAGCAGTCAGCAGCCGTGGGATTGACCACACCAGTCCTTCCTCTCCTTCCGGAGTCTGGGGCAGGCAGGAGCCTGTCCCCTGACCGTTGTCCCATTACGATCACAGCAGCTTTGCTGCAGAAAAACAGACTGCAAATGAAGGCAGCGCTGTGCCTCTGCGTCCGTAGCGCAGGAGCAGATCAAAATGCTGACCAAGGCCCAGACGCAGTGAGCAAAGCTTCAGGGAACAAGGAGCACCCTGGCAGCATCTTGCAAGGAGATGAAGAGTTTCTGTTAGAGAGGGAGATGTGGCGAGCGATGGTCTAAAATGGACTCCCCTCCTCTCGGATATGCTGGGGAGGGACTGAGCTCTGGCGCGCCGAGGAAGGCTGGGCATTCCCTGAGCTGTAATCTGGCCCAGCCGTGTGCTGGAAACCCACTGCCGAGCTCCATCTCATTTTCTGAAGAGAAACTCTTGCCGTCCCTGAGTGGGCAGGGAAATCCTCCCAGCTATTGCAGGTCCTCAGAGAAAGATGAAGCCAAATTCCCGCACTGGAGAGCCTGTGATTGCCCCTTCTGGGAACCATTAGCACGCTCTCAAGGCCCCTTAGCATTTGACTGGCCGGTAGTTTGCTCTCATTCTTCTCACAAGTGTCACAGTCGAGCACCTCAAGCAGCTTTCTGGTTAAGGCTGATAAAATGTTGAACTGTATTTACCGCTCTTGTTCTCCCCGGCTCGCTATAGA